GCATGTACGTGTGTTTGTGTGGCTGCTTGAACTAGTCCAGACTGATGCCGATTTATAGTGCCAGCCCACTGAGATACCATGCCGCAGTTTAACATAAAAACCCCACTCAGACATAGTATACTGACTCCGAGCCGACCAATCCTTGTTTTAGCCCCTTAATGCCGAGCACCAGACAGGGTAACAAGAAGTACCATTTTTTAATGTCTTTTGGTATGACGCGGCCGGGGATCGAACCCCGGACCTTCCGCTCTCTGGGCTGATGCTCTACCACTAGACCACAGAGGCGGTTGGTACTGTTATGACAAACAGGTCAGTGTTGTTTTAAGCTGATGTGGTTGTAAATCAGAATAGCGGTAAGAATGACTATCTCAAACATTCAACGTTTTCAGCTTTTGTAATCTTTATAACAAAATCAGCTTTGGCAACACGCCATGATGATCCAGGCATCTAAGAAGTACAGCTGCTTGATAAGTAATATATCCATGCCTTAAAGACAAACAGCAGAATGGGCCGCAGAAACAATTGTTGATTGTTTGCTGATCTGACACAAGAGTGTTGGACTCTTATTGGACAATGTGACCTGTTGATTGTCTTGTCCAGGTGTATGTACAACCTGCATAGAACCTGAGCTCCTCCTACCTTTGCTAAATACATCCCCCTGAAGGTGGGAACATTGGGTCTCACCAACAACAGTGTAAACAGACCTTGTTTTGAGTGAGTATATGCTTTAAGCCACATCGGCAATATTTCAGCCATATCGTGATACCTTGTTTTGAAGCCAGATAAAGAAATAAGAGTCCTGCCAACAATTTCAGACTCTACTCGCCGAAATTGGCTCTTGACATCACTTTCAGTGTTTTCCATTTGCTTTTGGTTTGACGCCACACTCAGCAATATTCCAGCTATATGACAGTGGCCTGTAAATAATTGAGTGATTGATATTGTGAGCAACGATCCCCACTGTCAGGGTACGAGGTCACAATATCAGCCAAGCCACCGCGTCTGACCACCTCAACCCTTCGGTCGCCTCTTACGACCAGCACAGGTTGATGGGGACTAATTCTCAACCAGAATCATGACTGGCGAGTTTTAGTTTTAAAGTATGGGCTTTTATTAGCTGAGTGTACTGGACCAAACAAATAATGACTAGATTCAGGCTTTGGACTAGTTGCACACTGTGATAATACTGTGAGAATTAATTAAAGTGTCATGTAACATTTATTCTGGGACAGCCATTCACTTTCAAAGCTGGCAGAGATTTGGATATTGTAGTCATTCAAACCATTATTTACTCCCTGCTACTAGAGCTCAACGGTCCATTCCAAAATACAATCTTAGCTATAACTGTTTACTCTGATACCCATATAACATTATACTTATGCTGTTCGTAGCACTAAGAATGCTATTGTGGAATGCTCTTTATCATACCTCCATGTCAGAATGATGAGATCTGATTGGTTCATGTGATTGGTTCTAATAAACCACAACCACAACTCCTATTACAATACAGATGAAAGGCAGAATAGACAACCCATCTTCCCCAACGGTAGCACCTGTAAACCACCAACCAGTAACCACTCAAAGTACAATACAGACTACAGAGTAAAGATTTTGTTTGTTGTTTAATGCCACACTCAGCAATATTCCAGCGATATGACGGCGGTCTATAAATAATTGAGTCCTGACCACACAGTCCAATGATTAATATCATGAGTATAAACCCTTGCAATTGGGATCGATGACATCCATCAACCAAGTCAGCGAGCCTGACCACTCGATCTCGTTAGTCGCCTCTTATGACAAGCATAGTCGCCTTTTACGGCAAGCATGGGTTACTGAAGACCTATTCTACCCCGGATCTTCACGTGTCACAGAGTAAAGATGAAGCACCTGTTCAATAAACCACCAGCCCTACTGCTCCTAGGACAATACAGACTACAGAGTACAGACTACAGAGTACAGACTACAGACTAGAGGGCCACATATCCTGCCCACAGGTAGCAGGACCTGACTGTGTGTGCCCCTTCTTGGATCTTGCCCCGCAGTACACAGAGCACAGACATACACACACTCCGTAAATCGTATCTTCATCCTTCAACAGACTCATGAATTGTCATGACGTGTACCTGGAGACATAACAGGCAACATCTCGACAACAGTCATGAAATCTCAGCTCACTGTTACATATCCAGCAAGGATGTAACCGACTGTTCCGAACATTGTTTGAAGTACAGAGGTCATGGTGACATAATCCAACATGTTCACGACAACCATTACGACAAAAATCTCCAAGCAAACTTTGAGACAAGAAAAGCCATCACTCATTACGACAATTCAAAATTTACCTTGTGCCGCTTTTTCCCTTTACTGTCACTTTTGTTATCCACCTTATGTCTGCCGTTCATCTTCCACTATGGCGACCACACGGCTAAGATTGACACCACTTGGAGATCATAACTCCTAGTGTGTCAAACCTCTCCTCATTGAACTAAAAACTAGAGTAACTGTGTCCCGTGTAAGACAGCCCTGATAAAATCAAGCCAATCTACATTAGATGCATCGAAATTTACTGTTAAATGCCTATCTCCACTGGAATGGTGAAGGATAAAAAGAGAGTGGTATAACAGGATTTATCTACTGCAGATCAAGGATATAAAACGTGAATCAAGCACAGGCATTGTTTCAGGTCAAACTGTAAATGATAACTTGAACAAACTGTTGTCATGTTTGATTTGTTATAAAAAACGATGCTTGTGCTCTTGTGGTGGAGGCTGGTCTGTTTGTGGGGACGGATTGTCTTCCACTGAATATGTTGGGTCAAGTGGCCCTTTCCCTAAAGAAACGGCTGTCCTTGTAACAGTGTAGTAAACCTGGGCCCCGTTCCACAAAGCGATCTTAGGGCTACGACCACCGTAAGCCTATGTTAAAGTATGGGAGTTAGGATCATCTTAGCGCTAAGATCTCTTTTTGGAACGGGGCCCTGGGACATAATCAGAAACAGGGGGCCTAGATTTATTTTTTGAGAGGTCAATGGCAATGAAGCACTGAGATTGTTTGGTAGATGTAGAAAGTTCAAATTGTCATTCACCTGGTAGTAATGAAAGTCTGACTGATGCTGCCACTTGCAATACAACATACAGACACGGTAATAGAAACATGTCAACTCTGAATGACAAGTTGACAAAAGGAAGCCATTTTACATGTGCACATTTACACATAGTCTGTATACAAAACATGTATTTACAACTTCAGTTTATATGTGTCAAGGAAATAAAATCAGTAAATTTGAACCCTTGCACAGTTTAAGGGGGACACACTTAAGTCAATCAGCAGTCCTAGCAACCTACAATTGAGTGAGTATGGTTTTATGTCACTTTTAGCAATATTCCAGCAATATCACGGCGGGGGACACCAGAAATGGGCTTCACACATTGTACCCATGTCGGGAATCGAACCCAGGTCTTCGGCGTGACGAGCAAACACTTCAACCACTAAGCTACCCGACCGCCCCAGCAACCTACAAACTTATGACCTTTTATTTCAGCGTATCACGAATACCCTAATTTCCTTGTCTATTTTTATTACAGACAATGCCTCTTCATGATCATGCACCTCCCACCATGTCATCCATCTTCATCAATGCTATACATAACAAAGTCTAGACATAACACTCTGTCGGAGTGCTGTACAGGAAGGAAGGAGGGAACTAGTGACAATACGCCCCAACCCTACCCAGCACCCACATAAATAGATTGTGACCTGATTGCACTGCCTTAATAACATCCGCACATTACCATCATCTGCAGCTCTTTGTTAGGATCTGCATGACCTGCCAGGTTTAGGGAGTCCCGTGGTACGCAATCATGCGTCATGCAACTGTCACTCACGGAGAACCTAACTTTCTTTCCTGCCAGACTTTAAAGCATAAATATCAGCATAGATGTTCATGTTTTAATACATGTAGTACCAATCTGCAACATGGGCCAATCTGTGACATTAGCCAATCTGTGACATTAGTCTCAGCTAATAACATTCTATACATTAAAATCGACAAAGACTTCAGTTTTGTCACAGACATAGTACGTTGATATTTACAGTATGTAATTCAGGTCGGAGAATACAGCACACAATCATCCAAGTAACCATGCCTGACCACCTGATCCATTTGGTCACCTCTTATGACCAGCATTGGTAACTAGCATGGAATCCCCAGGGTGGAACACTTACAGAATATGATTCAAGAAATGATACATACAGGGCTTAACTGGAGTTTTCACAAATCATAAGCCTGAACCTCTTACACCTTATGTTTTGGGATCAGAATTGGTCCGTAGTACTCAATGCTTGTTATATGACTTGATCAAAGGGGATTGGGTTGTCACTACCGGGTACCCATTTACTGCTTGTTATAAGACCTTTCTAAAGGGGGTTGAGCGGTCACAACGTGTGGCAGTCACATTACCATCTCTTCCTACCGGGTACCCATTCACTGCTTGTTATAAGACCCGACTAAAGGGGGTTGGGGCACAATGAGAGGCTGCAATTTTGGCACTGATTGTTATTTATGCTATCAACTGCTTATTTAACTGGACAAATTTGATAAACTACAGGCTGCCATGATATAGCTTGACTTTTTCTGACTGTGTAAAGTAGAACAGCATCTGTTTACACTTGATATTTGTGTTAGAATTAAACGTCAACTCAACCATGTCAACATTTCTATAAAAATATGTCTATTTCTTTTGGCCAGGAATATCCACACATCAAGAAACAAAATTAGCCTTAAAAATTACTCCAAAACGTATCTAAACTGCTAAGTCGAGGCGAGTGTAAGGGTTATCTCCCTTGATAACCACAAATCCCTTATCATCCTGGCTTAAACGGTCTGATGCAGTAAATTAAACAAACTCTGTGAACAACACTGAGGCAGCCGTTGTGCTGTGTCAACCTAGTCCACAGCGACATGTCTGTTTCTGCCGATAAAGGGAAATAAATCAAGCATGTATCAGGACGAGGGCAAGTGACTGGGGAACTCGGGGCCACCAATCAGCTCTATTACTCCCCAGGAAGGGTTCCATTATCAGATATACACAAAGTGCTCAAAAGTCACGCCTCCGATTTCAAATAAAGCAAGCTAGTGTCACTTTGCGAACAGGATCCCAATTTTCTCATGGCATGCTGGAAGCACAACCAATGTTGACATTATTTTACTCAGTCCTGAGTTCATTGTCAGCAAAGCAGTTAACCTACAAGTAATGACAAACAGTCAATACCTTCACGGCTCGGGTACAAATGGTGGAGAGTCTTGGAAACTGCTTCCCATCAACTGACTGGCTTGCACTAACATGTGGTATGACTTACAATATTGCCTTTAATTATCATATGACTATTAATTATCATATGACTATTAATTATCATATGAATTTTAATTATAATATGACTTAACAGGATCAGGTGATCAGGCTTGCTGACTTGGTTGATGCATGCCAGGATATCTCAATTGCATGGATCGATGCTCATGATGTCAATCACTGGATTGTCAGGTCCAGATTATTTATTTATTTACAGAGTGCCGTCATTTAGTTGGAATACTGCTGAGTGCAGCCATAAATAATAAACAAACAAATCTTAACATCTTCTCAGCTTCCCCTGACTGACTACACCACAACCACAGCACACATTGTTCATCTGTCACAGGCAGTACACCCTAGGCCTGGGACGAGTCTAAATTTACCCCCCCTCTATTACCCGACCTTACCCCGGTACTGGGTAGGTCTCAAGAGATACAAAATGTCTGATAGGAAATTTTTTTACCACAGCACTTGCAAAATGTATTTAGTTCATGTATTAAATAATCTGGCCATGCATACACTGAAGTTAAGTTATATCTTTATCAACCATGTGAAAAGTCAAAAGGAATGGGTGCATAGTCAGAAAGAAATGCGAACATTAGTGACTTGTATTGTTACCATAGAGTTTGAGATAATTTTTGTCATTAAACAACATATCGTGACTAACCACGGGTCCGGGTAGTCCTGTGGGTACCCGGGCCCTACTCAGTACCCACTCGACCCGGGTACCCAAGTTACCTGGCCCAGCCCTAGTACCCCCCCCTCCCCCCCTTGTCTTACAACCCTGTATTTAACACTTCCTTGACATGGTCTGACATGACATCAGCTCCAGTCTGATCCACACAACCACTGCAAGCATGCACTGGCAACAGCTTTCATCTCAACAGTCCCACTCCCATAAGAATACCGAGCATCTGGTGCTTCAACACACAAATACAGTTGACTTTCAACTCAACAGTCCCATGCTTTAGGACTACCGAGCATCTGGTGCTTCAACACACATATACAGCTGACTGCATTAAGAGGGCGTGGCGTGACTGCCCTCTCATTGCCCCGCCCTCATGACACACACACACACACACACACACTGAACAACGCATTTCCATCAGTTATGGCAGCAATATTGATACCTGTCAGCCATTTGGCTAGAACAGAGCAAGCATTTACCTGTCTCGGTATTACAAATCATAATCAATATATATTACCTATAGAATTCTACACACATCTGTTCATTGATTAGAACTTAATTCATTTGAAACATCTCTTCCTGCTATGAGTAATGACTGATGACAAGGGCCATACCCACCCAAATTAGTCACTTTTCATAGCCATATTTCCATCAAATAATGTCATTTGGGGAAATTTAAGTGTTTGCCCTGAAATAATGCCTTGATTCCATAGATTTTCAAGGGAAAATCAGGCTGCGGACAGTTTGTTACCACCTGAGAAACGGTATCCTGCCAGGAATCCCTTCATCTGTCACATTCACAGATTTGAAAATAATGTTAATAAATAAATATGTATGAAACAGCGTTAGAAATTGGCTCTAGTCCAGTAGTCCTTGCCACAGTGCCAATTAGTTAAGGTATCACAAGGACAAGTAGAAATTTGCGCTTTTTAAGGGTTTTGCTATTTGTTATCATTGTAAGGACTAGTGGGATGAAAATATTAGTTTCTATCGCTGATAAAATGTTTAAAATTAATTACAAAAGCAGCTGTGTGAAGAATTGGTTGTGTGAATTTAGAAATAAATTGAAAATCAAAAATGTTCAAAACATTTAAAAACTATTAGAAAATGGTGTGTCCCATTCCAAATACTTCTGACTGAGGTATGTGTTGTCGGAACAGAGATGTCACAGTATCCACTGTACAGACATGAGACACACGATGTAATATATACACCAGTCCCTGCCTTCCATATACATTGCAGGGAATGCCGATATATCCTACAGAATATTACTCCTCCCCCCCAAAAAAAATGAGTTGATCCTGTCCAGGCCCCTACTTCCTTGTTGGAAACAAAACTAGGAGTGTAGTAATTGGATGAGGGCAGACTGAACTTGGATTGTATTTCCGAAGGATATATTGAATAATGGTAGGAACGGACGGCTACAAACTGTCAGAAACCAAGGCCAGGGTACACATGCTGGTGGGAGGAGTATCTTCTCACTCAGAAAACTTAATATTTCCATAAAAATATTTAAAATATTTAATTTTCTCATACATGAAAAGGATGAGTAAGTGAGTTAAAATTTAACATCGCATTGGCAAAGTATTAGATCAGGCATATTTAAACTACATTAGAAGTAGTATTCCTGACTGGTGTGTTTATTGAAGGAAGAAGAACTGTTGTAAGTCACAACATGGAGCATTTCTTTTCACCTTAAACAGAAATCAGGTCCTTTCGTGTTTCTTTGTTTGTCATGGTGGGTGGTTGACTTGCCTCTGCATGTATTCGTGGCGGGTTCCAGTAGTGTGGGAAGTGCACATGATTTCACAAGCACCTGGTGTCATCACTTTTTAATGGGGATTCATAGGCACATTCTTGTGGTATACTTGGAATCGTGCAGTGGACAGCACTTTGGCAGGGATTTCTTATGATTATGGTTAGGTTCTGTCATTTTCATTATCATGAGAACAGACAAGTGTTGCTGGCAACATTACATAACCTTTATCCACTTGGCATTGACTAATCTGACCGACAATCAACACTGACCTGATTTTACATCTGACCTTTCTATAATTTAGATCTGTTTCAATTCTATCAAAAAATGGTAAAAGAATTAAAAACAAGAGTTTGCCACTAACATGGCTATATCCCCCGCCCCTATTGCAGAATTTATGACATAATCAAATCTAAACAAACCCTAACATTTTTTAACCGAGGTGGAACTTGTCATGGAAATTGTGAAAAAAAGAAGAGTTTGGAACATAAGTCCATCTTGCTGCCATGGAACGTAAAAAATAAAAATTTCTAAATAGCAAAAGGCACCAGTTCAGCATGTACCTGACAGACCTGCAAAGTTTGATGAAAAAATGTTGAACGGTTTATGAGTTATGCTCCGGAAACGAACTCTACCCTCACAGAACCTAAGTCCGTCTTGTTGCCATGGAAACGTAAAAAATAAAAATTTCTTAAATTTCTAAATAGCAAAAGGCACCAATTCAGCATGTACTTGACAGACCTGCAAAGTTTCATGTTAAAAAAAATAGAACGGTTTCTGAGATATGCTCCGGAAACGAAACGTGACAGACGGACGGACCGACGGAGCCCGTTTCTATATCCTGTTTCTGATATATCCTGACTGTGGGATAAAAACAACACTATGACTAAAGATGGGAGGAGGGAGAAAAACAGAATGATGACCAGCACCATGGCTCCAGGTTTCACCCCCTTAGCTACTTCTATCAAGAAAGACATCTGATAGATAAAAGCATCCACCTTTCCCTTACATAACATTTAACTGAAGCTGCTTGTTATCTCAAACACTGGAAGCCCAACACCGTCATGACAATGTTATCTAATCTACACTACAATCACATACACCTCAGGCATGTGTTACAGATATATATCTTCCTGTTATGAGAGTGAATAGTCATTGAATAACACATGTACCTCCTTGAGACCTGCTCTAGGCAACCACTGGTCACACTGTAGCTACAGTCTATCACCAGCCTGACTGTTGGTATGGTATATCACCAGCCTGACTGTGGGTATGGTATATCATCACCAGCCTGACTGTGGGTATGGTATATCATCACCAGCCTGACTGTGGGTATGGTCTATCACCAGCCTGACTGTGGGTATGGTCTATCACCAGCCTGACTGTGGGTATGGTCTATCACCAGCCTGACTGTGGGTATGGTCTATCACCAGCCTGACTGTGGGTATGGTATATCACCAGCCTGACTGTGGGTATGGTATATCACCAGCCTGACTGTGGGTATGGTATATCATCACCAGCCTGACTGTGGGTATGGTCTATCACCAGCCTGACTGTGGGTATGGTATATCACCAGCCTGACTGTGGGTATGGTATATCATCACCAGCCTAACTGTGGGTTTGGTATATCATCACCAGCCTGACTGTGGGTATGGTATCCCTAATTTCTATAAATCAGCATATACATACACACCAGCCCCGTGAAGACCCGGGGTAGAACAGGTCTTCAGCAACCCATGCTTGCCGTAAAAGGCAACCATGCTTGTCGTAAGAGGGGACTAACGGGATCAGAGGGTCAGACTGGCTGACTTGGTTGATGCATGTCATCGATCCCAATTGTGTGGATCGATGCTCATGATATCGATCACTGGTTTGTCTGGTCCAGACTCGATTATTTACAGACCGCCGTCGTATAGCTGGAATATTGCTGAGTGCGGCGTTAAACAACAAACAAACCAACCAACATACACACCAGGAAGAGGATGTCATAGATTTCAGAGAAAGAGAATAGGACGCCAAGTTCCTGAAACAGATTCTCCCAACATGACATTGGACATGCACACCACAGCAAGCTGCACCTGATCCAGCTTCCTTCTGAAATTCTGCCCCTCACAACAGTTCACAGGCAACTCTCTCTCAACAAACCTCCATCTCACAATGTATACAAATAATGAGATTGCAATTTATTCACATCCAGTCAAGAATAGCCTGAAAGTGAAACTGTGTCTGTTTGTTTGAATGTTTACACGGAGCTGATAAGTTTTCCTAAACATGTCAGTGAGAGGATAGTGTTGTCTTTATCCTACACCAGCTATGGTGAATATCACTTTCACCTCACACAGTACAGGAGACAGGGCACCTTTCAGCGGTAGAAACTAACAGTTTTTGTCCACTAGTCCTTGTGATAACATATGGCAAACCCCTTAAAAATGGTAAATTTCTACACGTCCTTATGATACCGTAACTATTGGGCAGTTGGCAAGGGCTACAGGACTAAAGTACTCATGGAAATGAAAAACCCCTGTTTTGCTGGATTTAATAATCGACACAAAGCA